CTGGAATTCTGCCCAACTTCCAAGTGGCGCCGGAATTCTGACCGACTTCCAAGTGATGCTGGAATTTTGCCCGACTTCCAAGTGAAGCCAGAATTCCACCGACTGAATTCAGACTTCTACCCAACGACGGACCTCCGCTTGTCGCCAGATTTCTATCTGACACCGGACTTCTATCCTGTCACGACCCGACCCGATCCTGGACGGATCCCGAGTGCCGATCGGCCTGGACGATGTCTAAATCGGCCTGGACGATATGTACAGAAAATCACCTGGAACAAAACTGGGCACATTCTGGAGCAAAATTTCCACTGATCGTTCCAGGACGATCCAGATCGTCCTGGACGATCCTGGAGCAGATTTTTGATATTACATATCCATTGTAGGATTTTCGCCGGATAACTATCCAATGTGGGATTTCTATCCATAGCTGGACTTCTACCTGACGCCGTCCTTCTGATCTCTGTCATCAGACAACGGTCCTTCCAACCTCCGTCGCCCGCCGACTACGGTCCTTCTGACTTACGTCGCTCATCGACTACAGTCCTTCCAACCTCCTTCACCCGTCGACTACGGTTCTTCTAACTTACATCGTCCACCGATTACAGTCTTTCTGACCTTCGTCGCCCACCGACTACGATCCTTCAGACTATGTCGCCCACCAACTACGGTCATTCCGACCAAACGAACACGTCAATAATGACTCTTTGTATTCCCACCATGTAATGTACTTTATAAGATGTACATCAAGCTAAGGCCTTCCCCCAAGGAAGGGCTTCATTTGTAATCAACTGCAATACTAATGGATTCATTCAAACTGGGCTAGGCCCCGTGGTTTTTCTCCCTTTTCAAGGATTTCCTCGTAAAAATCTTGGTGTCTCATATGAATGATACACCCTCTCTCTTATCTGATTGCGTGTCAGATTTTTGTATAACGCTAAGACGTTAAACTTTATATTTCTCTATCGTCGTGAATACTCCAGGATGCAACAAGTCTAATACTTCAAAATTTTGTTTAAAAGATTTTGATGCAACTTTAACAAAATGAAGAAATTTGTTTTCACTTCTATAAATTTTATTGTTTATTGAAGCTTAATATAATGAATCAGCATTCAAGTTCCTCTTCATTTCTTCTAGCACACATTCATCCACCAAATCAACCATATAGCACTCATTATTATTTTCATCAATAAACTTCATTGATTATTAACATTTGTTAAAAGTCAAATCTTGATCTTGAACTCTCATGGTTAGTTCCTCTTTTTTGTACATCGATCATAGTTTTTCTGAGCTAAGAAAGGCCTTTCTAAAATAATGGGTAACTCTTTATTTTTATCTATCTCTATATCAAATATTATAAAATTAGCAGGGAATATAACTTTTTTCACCTTTTCTAAAATATCTTCTATAACTACCTTAAGATAAGTCAATAAACTATCAACTAATCATAGAGTAATATGTGTTTGTTGGGCTTCTCCTAATCTCAATTTCTAAAGAATAACATTCAAATAAATATATGAGGGAAAATAATAAATTAAGAGCAACTAAGAGATTATAGTCATCAATATCACCAATCTTGATAGTTTTAAAAGCAATATGAATCACTTGCGTACACCCTCATTTTGTATATTTGTATTCTCATAGAGATCCAAACTTTAAGGCACTTCAGGTAGCAAAATCGTCCGGAATGAATCCCTACATTAAATTTTCATAATTTTAAAGGATAGTTTATTTAAAATTTCCTTCATCTAAATAAAGAGATTGAATGGTTGATTCTACACGTATACTTAGGTAACTATTTATAAAGACCAATCTACATGCCTCTAACCTCAAGCTAAAGGCAATCACAAGACACATGACCAAAAAGTTATTGGGACTATTGATTCCATCATATAAGTAACACTACAACTTATTTATTCTTGCGTTCAATAAGGTATATAAGAGGATAATGAAATTATTTTTGATGACTCTAATTTTGATGGGATGCACTATCCGCATGAAGATTCTCTAATTATATTAGCTAGAATTAGAACCTCTTACACAAATACTACAAAAGTCTTGATTAACATATGCGGTTTAATGTATATTCTATTCTTCCATACTTTCATGAATCTTATAATAACCATCATTAAGCTCCAACCTTATCCTTATGACTTTGAAAATTTTAGAGGACAAACTATAAATTATTGGCACGATCACAGTTAAGTAAAATTTATGTAAATGTTTTGTGCATGAATTCATGTGAAAATATTTATTTTTAGTTGATGTTGTATAGGAAAATCTCAGAAAAGGCCAAAAAGTAGGAAATACTGTCACTATAGTAAGATGAGAACTTTATTCACACCCTTACAAACTCGACATAGATATAAGGATGCATATGCTCTGCTTCATAACATACCTTAAAAAATCTTACTTAGAAAAACATTCCATCATTCATCATCATAAGTTCATAATAGTTTTCTTTGATTAAGTTATCATTTTCATAATTGGAGTAGTTCTATAGAAAACTAATTTCAACACGATTTAATAGGATAAACTACTTTGCCATTCGAAGTACACAATATTAAAGGTATTCGTATGATTAAATTTTTTCGTGAAATCGACACTCAACTCTAAACTTTATTAATTGATTGATATGTGCACTTGCTTAGAAATTTCCAATCAATCATCCTTCTAGTTACATGTGGTGAACCACCTTTGCAATTAACCCATTTAGCCTAATGCATGGTGGTATGCATTAGCTTAATCAATAATGCAACACTCAATCAATACCTCATATATATCCCTCACTTGAAGGTTAACATTTCTACACTTAAAGTGTATCAAAAATTAGGGGAATAAATATCTGTCTTACTTATATTTCCTCTAGGAATTCCATTATTATTGATAACTTTAAGTAAAATTTATCCTAAATCAACCGACTCAAGAAAGTTGAGACTATGCATATTTTAGAAAATATTTAACCTTCAAGGCTATTGGAACAAGTCTCATTTTTGTTGAAATATATAAAATGACCCTCCCTCAATTTACAAACTCACCTGATCAAGAGGCAACATATGGAAGGCTTTACACTACTAAATCACTTGTGTTAATATATTTTATCTATAGTCATATGATTGAAGCCCTTAATATGCCTACTAAAATGACCATGAAATAAATCAACATACGGCTTCCATAAAAGCCATAACCACTTTGTTAAGCCATGTACACACTTTAAATAAGAAATCACATTGATATTTTTAAAAGAATTTATATCTCACTAAGATATCTTCTATGTATGATAAGTGATAAAAAATAATCTTTTAATCTTATTAGGACCACCATTTTTTGTTAATAAGTTTGATATAATATTAGTTGAATTTGTTTGTCAATTAATTGTAAATTATTATTATTATTACTATTGATACGTCGTAAAAAAATTATCTTGATCGGGCAAGAATCTCGATGCAAAATAAAGTAGGAAACTTCCAAAATTAATTCGGAGACCATCCTAACTCCGATTTCAGTAAACTTATAGTCAAACTGAGCGTCTCGGAAATACGAACTTAACGACACCAAATTCGACTCAATCCGAGCCCAAATCGGTCCAAATCAAGGACCCGAAGCGCTGTTGGAAGGTTCAAACCACAATTTGGATTACCAAACAGTTTTTAAACATAGAAAGCTTATACTCGAATCGAGCGGCTCGACGAGACGAATCCAACGAGCCCAAGATCGCCGAATTCCAACATCATTAAGGTCTTCAAATGTCTAAAGAGCAGTGCATGATCAAGGGATTCAACATCGGCCGTTCATCCGACCACTCCTTATTTACCCTTGATCTCTCACCTATTTACGGGCCATGCCACTCCAGAAAATCTATAAATAGACCCCTCATTTCTCTTGAAAGGGGACCAGAGCAAGAGCAGAAGAAGAGAAGAGAAGAAAGAAGCTCCTCCTCGACCACCGCCGGACCTTCGCCGGACCACCACTTAAGGCCCTCGCCTTCGCCGGACCACCACTTGAGGCCCTCATCTCCGCCGGACCACCGCTTGACACCGTTGCTCCGCTAAACCACCATTTGAGGCCCTCACCTCCGCCGGACCACCTCCTGACGTCGTTGCTCCGCCGGACCACCACTTAAGGCCCTCACCTCCGTCGGACCACCGCTTGACGCCGTTGCTTCGCCGAACCACCATTTGAGGCCCTTACCTCCGCCGGACCACCGCTTGACGCCGTTGCTCCACCAGGCCATCACCTGACGCCTAGAGTTCTACCGAAGTACCATTCTTCTACTACGGTCTTTCAGACTCATATCTCATGCCGACTATGGTCCTCCCGACCTCCATCGCCTACTATGGTCACTCCGACCTCCATCACCAGACAACGCTCTTTCAGACCCCAATCTCCTGTCAACTACGGTCTTCCAGACTCCTATCTCCTACCGACTACGGTCCTCCCGACCCTCGTCGTCTACTACGGTCCTTCCGACCTACATAGCCAGACAATGGTCTTCCTGATCCCAATCTCCTACCAACTATGGTCTTTCGAACCCCCGTCTCGTGCCAACTATAGCCTTTTTAACCAAACAAACATGTATATTATTGTAACTCACACTATGTAATGTGCTCTACATGATGTACATTTGTACCATCAGGCCAAGGCCTTCTCCCAAGGAAGGGCCTCATTTGAAATCGACTGCAAATATTAGTGGATTCATTCAAACTGGGCTAGGCCCCGTGGTTTTTCCCTCTTTTTCAGGGGTTTCCACCTAAAAACTCTGGTGTCTCTTATGAATGCTACACCCTCTCACTTACTGATTGTGTGGTGGATCTTCGTATAATGCTAAGACGTTAAACTATATATTTTTCTACCGCCACGGATATTCCAGGAAACAATTATTATTATTAGTTTGTTTAGTTCCCTTTATTAATAACAAATGTTCTTTTAGTTCGTGGGTGGTACGAAGAATACTTATTATATATTTAGTTCATTATTAAAATTTCAAGTTAGCCAGCGTGGAAAAAATCAACATAATTACCGACCTTATTTTTCATCCTTAGATCCGCTTCAGTGGGATGAACGCAGTGGAATTAGTAAACCGGAGCTAGGGCACAATCCTAGAGCTGCGGGAGGACGCGGAGAAGGAGAAGCAGCAGCGAGAGAGATAGAAATCGAAGGTGAGAAGCCAGAGAGGAGGCAGGTGGCGGGAATAGAAGGTAAGGGATGGGAGCTCCGAAGCAGAAGTGGACTTCGGAGGAGGAGGATGCCCTCCGCGCCGGTGTCGACAAGCACGGCGCCGGCAAGTGGCGAACTATCCAGAAGGATCCCGAGTTTTGCCACTGTCTGGCTACTCGGTCGAATATTGATCTCAAGGTCCCATTACTGACATTGATTAGTGTTTTTATTTTTTATTTTTGTGTTCTGAACTCTTTGCATCGCTTTGGGAGGCTAAAGGCGTGGATGAGATGAATGCGAGTGATATTTTACGATGTTTGGCTCAATTTGGTGTGTTAGAATTACAATCGGAATACAAAATCAATTAGAATAGTAGTTGTTGGAGGATTGACATTCCATGTATATAACTCATAGGAATGTGTGGTAGAGGGTATAAAGCTGCACTATGCCCATGTCGTGGTAATTCCACCCAGAAGGTAATCTTTGGGATAAGGCCAATGATGATCATGATAATGATGAATTTGCTAGTAGATTTAAAAGGTTGACTTGAAGTGACAGTGGCATGTTTCTCAGATGGAGTATTTTCTATTTAATCCTCTCCCTGTGAGTCTCTTTTGAAATTACAGATAAGATTGTACTTTGAGACTCTTAAGGGCTTGGTTGCAAGTAGGATCTAGTAAATCCTATAAATTCGAATTTATCAAATGCGGAGGTTGTTAAATCCTGAAAATTGTTTGGCATGAGATTTGTTAAATCTTAAGAAACTGTTTGGCTACACATTTCAGGATTTATGATGGTTAAGGATTTAAATGTGAAATATACATAATATGTGTAAATTTGAACTTTGTTATATGATATCACCGTATTACATGTCATCCTTGATTTAACATAGATAAAATCCTATAAACAAATTACTGACCATACATCAATAATCAAAGTACAAACCCAACATAAGTTCATACAATAGAAATGATAAAATCAATAGAGTACACAGTAGATCAATATTGATTAACATATGTACTAACTAGTTGTGGATAACAAAATCTGATATATGCTTGCATATTGATGGTGATATGATATATGTTACAGTTCAGAGAAATTCAGTTATGATGAGCAGCTTTTTGACTTGACTTCTGAAATAAAAAAAAAACATAATATTGTTAGAATTTTAAATTTAAATTGAATTTTTACTATTATAACAAAAATTTTTACCCTAGGATCCCACAAACCCATGGCGATGGCGTGTCTCATGCTTTCCATTGAATTTTTTCCTTAATTATTACGCGCATGTTAGGATCCCCAACATTTACTACAACCTCATTGTAATGAGTATCATGTTGTATTCCTATTTGTGACATATTGAAGTAGAGATCATGTCCATTGTACCTACCAATGAAGATGTGCAAAACTATACATGCAAGGGCGATGTCAGCTTGAACACTAAGAGAGATGAGGTTCCTCATCTCATCTCATCCCCAACTGATTCGATTTGATAGTTGATACAATGTTTTCAAGTTAGAATTCATAAATTTTAAATCCTTTCATGATAATTGCTTTAGTTTAATTGGTTCATAATCGTTTATTCATCACTTTTACAAGCCCCATCTATAGTTCCTTCTTCAAAAAGCTATTAAAAAAATTCTCATATAGATGCTATTCAAGTAGGAGTTTGCCTAGTACTACATTATGCTCTTTAGGCCATTTTGGAATATGTGTCATGCTTTTTGGTTGGCCAGTATGGATTGAGGCATTCTCATCTACTTTTGGGTGAGCACTTGAACTTACTCACACTATAAATTTTTTTTTTTAGAAATCTTTTCATTTATGTTATGGAACAAACAACATAGCATTAATACTCATAATTTACTGCCAATTGTGCCATACTAATAAGTTCTAAAATAGCATAGGAAATATACCATATATTTTCTCACACTTCCTATGACGATGTTCAAACCGGTTAGTACATAGTTGCATGATGTTGATGGAGCTTAGTTTGTAATTTTCGGAATCCAGCAAAAACAGCCCAAAAATGGTGGAAAAATGTGAAATTTCTTGGATGAAAACACTCACAAACACTTCAATAACTTGAATATCAAAAGACTTACAAGTTTGCACGGATACAATGCTCTCAATTCGAGAAGAGAAGCTTTCTCCCAAGCCCTAGAGAAAAAGAAAGCTAAAACAGCCACCAAACAAGATCCCTCCAAAAAGCCCCCCTAACTCACTTTTAACTCTCACATAAACCCCTAAAAAATCCCCTCATTACCCCTAGGGCAAACACCTCATCCTTCCTCTTCAATTTGGTGGGCCCCTTGGGCCCACCCATTTGCTTCTCCCCTTCGGTTTGTCCGCCCAGGCAGGCGGGTTCTCCGTCTGCAGTAAGTGAGAACCGGCCCCTGTGGGGCCGGTGTTGCTATGGACCGGGCCGGTCCATCAGATGTTTGACGACTCATGGTCACTTATTGAGTCTCCAATCTCATTTTCAATTCCATGATAATTAAATAACTAATCGAATGTAGGTTTCTTCAAGTTGAAATTGATATTTACTTTTTAATGTTTGGATGAAATATCAGTGGTTGACGAAGCTCTTGATTTATGCATTTTTGGTGTGACCTAAATTTTAAAAATAGGTTACTTGGCGAAATTGGGTGAAGCATGATATGTAACTTGAATATATTTTTTTAGTAATTGGAGAGGAATGATTGGTTAGAGTGATTTATCAAAAAATGACATATTAGAAAGGCCAATTTAATAATTATTGCTAAAAAAATATTTTTAAGAACTATGTAAATGATAAATTGAATATTAACGACGACAATTAGAATTATTACTCATAAAAAAAGATAAAACTTCTCATAAAAAAAAAGTTGCGCACTGCATGATATCATATAGAAATTGAGAATACTATTTAGAGAGTCTAGAGATCGACAAGATACATTTGTGTTATTCAACCATGAAAGTGATTATATACATCATTATTGACCAATATTGGCAAGCGTTGAGGTAAATAATAATGATTAGCACTAAATATAATTGATTATATGATAATATAGTAATTACAATAATGTGCATTATTGTCTTGATTCTTGAATTGATATTTTCTTCATAGAATGAGAAAAAAGCAATTAAACAAAGTTTAGCCTCATTAAAGGTTTAAATAAACCTGGTTAGGAGAGTAGATGCATTAGATTTGGCCTATGTTAAGAGAGGTAGAGGCAGACTTAAAAAGATTTGGTTAGAAAGTATTAGAAATGACATTTTTTATTAGATTTAAATGAGGTCATAATGGAGAAAAAAGATTCATTTACTGACCCCACATAGTGGGATAAAGGCTTGATATTATTGTTGTTATATTAAAGGTTTAAAGAAATGCATTATCGGAGGAATAACACTATTTAATTACAACAGGCATAAGTTTGAAGGATGTACACAATTCTTAAAAAAGTTGCTTCTATCTGAGCAAGTAACCATGAAATCTGATGTTTATACTTAGCTTAAAACGTTACCTCATCATCAATTAGTGAAAAACTATCAACTCAATAAAAAATTTCAGCAGAGCTCAATCCAAAGCACCATTTGAAGTATTAAAAGCACAAAGAAATTAGATAACAAGAAAATATTTAACCCTAGGGGAGAAAATATATAAGAAAGTTTTGGTGAGACTAGACACAGAGTTTTCTTATGTAAAATTAGCAATTAAGTACAAAAATGAAGGCATATCAAATATGCTAATTCTTAAACTTTCCTCTCCTCCATTATAATTTTTTTATAACAAAACAATTGTTTTACCTTGCATCATTTTAATGAATAAAAATGTTGAATCAAACCAGCTCATTTCAAATAAGATCCAGTTCAACTTAATCCTAAGAAATTATTATGGTCATAACTGCAATCACGTTGCTCTTGGGTAGTTCAAATTTGTATATTTTTTAACCAAAATAACTAAAAAAAAGCTTAATGACATCTCGAGATAGGTTTGAAGTAAAAGAAACTGGTTTGCAAAATGATAATAGAGTAGAAGAACAAGGCTTCATCTCCATTGCCGGCATACCAGGGGATCGATTGCAACCTACACAGATCCAATCCATAAATATTTTCTCGGGAATGATTGTTTGTTTTTCGACTACCATTTCTGAGTTCAAAATCGAAGGGGTGGTTTACTCTAGTGGAAAGTAAAGACGTAAAAAAGGTGGCTTGAAACTATACCTTCTTCACCAGAGCTGAAGATAACAGATGAGAAAGAGGAAGAGAAAGAGGAAGCAGAAGTCAGGAAGAAAGAAAACGGCGCAAGCTGTAGCATTCGGTGTGGAGAGATGCGAACTCTATCATTGTAGATAAATAATTTCCAACTACTCTATGAACAGGATGCAGGAGAGCTCTTTGCAAATTCGTAAATACTATTAAATCTGTCGAACTACGGGATTTATTAAATATTGGATTTACAGCAAAAGATGGTAAATCCGGTATTTTGATGGGTGAGGGTTTGTAGTGCCTAGTTTTTCTGTTTTGCAGGATTTGCGGTAAATCCCACGTCAATTCTGCTCAAAACCCGCAATCAAACAACCCCTTAGTATATCTTGCTTGCTTAAGTCACTTGATTTAAAGAGGAGCTTCCTGATTTCCTAGCTTATATTGAACTATTTTGGCAGCATATTTAAAAAGGGCTTGGTCCAATATGAGATTTAGGGACCTTAATCTTGTAATGTATCATATTGATCCTTTTCTCACTCTCAGAATTTCCCACAATGGTTAGAGCAACTTCCCAAGTGTAATCAATCTATTGTCCCTAATTGTTTTGATACCTCTACTTTAGGTTGTTTCTTTAGTTTACTTTTTGAATTTGCAATAGTACTATATTGTCGGACGGAAGGGTTTATCTCTTTCTCCTTGTTGCAATAACTACCCACTTTTATAAAATTTGATACGACAAAGTTTTTTTCAAGAGAAATGTCGCTCCTGGGAGGTTACAATAATCCATATGTTCAATCAGTTACAAGCTTTGGGGCCGTTTTTATGTCTGAAATGCTAACATGATTCTGACTTAAGGTTACATTTGAACAAATTTACCACTCTGAATTGTTATCTAACGTAAGATCTATGGTTCCTTCGTTCATTTCCACATGTGGCATTTATGTTCTACTTCATCAGGATATATTTTAATTCCGACTGTTAATGATGTTTATCATACATTTCTTTTAAATAGGATAAATGGAGAAATATGATTGTTAGTGCTACTGGACAAGGTATTAGGGAGAAGTCAAGGACACCAAAGTCAAAGGATCAATCAACTACACAGTCCAGCTCTCAGAGCCCACGCGTTCAGGCACCTGCAAATGTAGAGAAGCAACCCACAGTGGAATCCACTAAGGCTCCTCATGATGCAAAGATTCCTTCACGGTTTGTATGGCTTTACTTTTACTCCATTTTACATAATTTATTAGGGGTTTATGGTATGCAAATTTAAAGTTTGCATTTTTTGTAATATATATACTAGCATGTTAATGCAAATTTGATGAGTTGTAACTCTTTAGTAATAAAAAAGTGTCTTTAAGGACATGGCATTTGACATACTACACCTATGACTTATCATATGACCCTAACCTTGAATTTAATTATATTTATATCTCAAATTCTCAACCATCATCTATTTTAGTTAATACCTACGACATTCAAGTTAGTGTTCACTTCAATTTAAATTCGTATCTATTTATATTTAAGTTGAAATGCAAATAATCAACTTTCAACTACTGTATTTATTACCTTAATCATTTAATTTCATGTGAGTTAGTTCCGTCAATAGATAGCCTGCAAGCAAACCTGCTCCTATCGCTAGCCTATGGATATGGTTTTATTCTAAGAAAAAGGCTTTCTTAAGAAATATTGCAGATTAATTAGAAGGTTCTAAATTTCAAATTCATACAAAGTCTAATGCATTGAGTGATTTCTAGTTGACTGTTTCGTGATTAATGAACCTATTAGCTTCAAATATCTTGAAAAGCATGGAATTAAAGCTCCATTTGATTTTTACATTACTCTTGCCATGTCATGCAATGATGTTTGGTGTTTAATTCTCTCGTTTGGTCAGTTTTGCATGCATGTTTTTGGCTATACATGTCCACTGTATTCTTTAGTTGACAAACAAACATTCCTTCTATTCTCGGACATCTATAAGCTGGTGTCCATTTGCATTGCACTAAATATCACTACTATCTCCAGTTAGCATGGTAATTGCATGTTGCATTTACTTCATCGTTGCATTGTAATCCAGTTTGTACTGCTGGGATCAAATTTAATGTGTTTTTGGTGATTCCATTGCTTGATGAGTTACAAAATGCATCATGATAGGAGGCAGAAAGTCTTGTAATTGAGCATAAACCTGCTGCTTTTCTTCTTTTGGTAAGTGTGAAGTGATGGTGCATCAAACCAAGGATTTTGAGCTTAATGTTGTAAATGTATTGCTCAGATATAGGGAGAGCAGAAAATGAACTTTCTATTGGATTGATTTAGTTAAGACTTTTCTTTTAATGAAACTAAACTTCAGTAGAATTTGTTGAGAGGAAAGATTTATGGTATTCTAGTCATTGAATATAGGTGCTTTTTATAGACATATAAGGTGAAAATATTTGAAAACAAATAAAAGAGAGAATAATAATTAAATGGGAATAAATGCATATTTTTCTAGATCAATTACTCTCTTAGTGCAAATATTCTTTAATAGTATTTTTCTAATATGTGTAATACGCTAGTACACTCCCTCAAGCTGATGTATGTAGTATATCAGTTATCTTTAGTTTGTTACATAAACATGGAAATGATAGATTATCCAGAGCTTTGATAAACCCACCACTAATTCTGAATTGAAAACATGTGGAGTAAAATTTGGAATGCACGGCATTTTATATGAAATTATAATCAACTTCAATATATTTAGTTCGTCCATGAAAAACATGATAGATGACAATATAGATTACATCATAATTATCACAATATAGTTTCACAGGTTGAGTAACATAAATAAAAATCTCTTGAAAGAGTTTTGACCCACTTTATTTCATATGTTGAGTGTGCCATAGCTCCGTGTTTAGGCTCTGCACTATATTTGACCACAATAAATTGTTTCTTACATTCCCACGGGACAAATTTACTATCAAATTACAATATCATGAAGCAAAATTTTTGACTTTAACGGGGCTAGCATAATCAGCATCAGATGAAGCTTCGATATTCAAGTGTTCAATTTTTTTTTTTGTTATATATCTTGACATATAACAGCCCTTTTTAGGGATTTTTATTGTATTCTTGATAATTTGTAGAATGACTTCTAGTTATTTGTTTTGGATTTTGTATGTGGTGGATTGCAATTTCAAAGAAAAATGAAATATTAGGCCTGATAACAATCAAATTAATTAACTTATTTATTAGCATTTGATACTGAGATAAATTATTCAATAGCTCTCATATAGGATGTGGTATAAGTTTCCACAAGGGTATCTGCTCATTTGCAATACAGAAGTCTAGTTTCTTGATGAATATCAATAGTCTACTACCCTTGATATAGTGATACCGTAATTTTGTTTTAATTAAATTCAACTCTAAGAAAATACTTTGGTAGTACCATATCTTTGGCAATAAAGCACTTTTTTTTAGATATCATTTTTGCTTTTAAGATGTATTAATAATAACTCATAATTAGGAAGATATTTTCAACATAAATAGCAAGAATAATAGCATTAGAGATAATATGTTGGACAAAGATATAATGATCTTTGGTGCTTCTACAAAGGACAGTGTCAACAAAGACTTTACAAAATTTATAAACCTAGGCCCATAAACTCTATTTAAGGGTCATAAATTGCCTTCATGAATAAAATTATCTGGTTCTCTTTCTAAGCCCCATTACTCCATATAAAAACCTTCATGTAAGTTGTATAAAGGAAGATGCTACTTACATCCATTTGTAGTAGATTCAAACCTTGTTTGATGTCAACAAAGAGTATACTTTAGACATAATTAAGCATGAATACTTGGGAGAATTAATGTATCAAATTAGTCGATCCTATTTACCTTTTTTATGACTAGTTGAGCATTGTATTAGCATAAGGAATCATCATGGTGAAATTTAACAGTGAAGACACAATGATAAGTAATTTGTTTAGCTTTAGAGGTGAGAGTGATCAAATCCTATGTATGATGTTTGAATAGATCAATGTTTAAAATTATGTATTCGGGTATTGAGGCGTTTTTCATTCGTGAGGCGAGGCGTAAGTCTCAAGGCGTAAGCCTCAAAATCAAAAGATTGCGTAAACATAAAATGATAAATTTTTTATTTACTAATGAGTGAATAATAGAAAACATAAAAAAGCATAAAATATGAAGTGAAATCAAAATATCCCAATAATAAGACAACATTAACTATAGTTCAACTCAAAATTCTATCTTTCCCAAATCCTAGTATTCTTTTCTTTAACATATAATTCAAAATTCCAAAAATAAATAGTAATGACATATCACATAAGAACTCATAAGCCATCAACACTGTCATCACTAAGGGGTTCTTCATTTGAATCATCACTATGATGAACTGCTCTCTCCCATTCCTCCTCTCCTATAGAGTCTAATGTCGGGTATTTACTTTAAGATTTATGTAAGTTTTAATATATATAGCATGAGGCGTAAGCCTCATGCCAGTGAGGCGAGGCGGGCCTCAATCAAGTTGAGGTGCAAGCCTCATAAAAAAAACTCAAGGTGTAAGCATCGAGGCAGTTTTTACTGGAATTGCGCAAAGGCAGGCCTCAAGGCGAGCCTCATATTGCGCAATTTTAAACCATGGAATAGATGACTCATGTCAGTGTCCTTGATCCCCTCCTATAGGATTTTGAAGGTATGTCACGTGAATATAAATAAATAGAGGAGAAAATATAAACATATAACAACAACAACATCAAGCCTTTATCCCACTACGTGGGGTCGGCTACATGAATCCTTTTTCTCCATTGTGTCCTATTAAAAGTCAAATTTTCGTTTAAATCTAATAAAAAAAGATCATTCTAATATTTTCTAACGAAGTCTTTTTAGGTCTGCCTCTATTTTTCTTAACATAAATCAAATCTAATACCTCTACTTTCCTAGCCGGGTCATCGGAAGGCTGCCGTTTTATGTGACCAAACCATCTAAGGCGACTCTCTCTAATTTTATCTTCTACTGGAGCTACTCAAACTTTTTCACGTGTATGCTCATTTTGTATCTTATCTCTAAGGTAAGCTTCAAAATCTAAAAATTGCGTAAAGTCAAAATAAAAGTTAAAAGTAAAATTTAATATAATATCCAAATAAAATGTTAAAGGATGAAATATTAACTTTCTATTAAATTATGAAGTAACAAATTTACATACATATGAAATAAATAATTGTATAAGATGCAAAATGTTATGTGATAAGTTATATGAAATATAATTGAAATCCAAATATTACATGAACAAAACACCATAAAATATATGAATTGTATAAAAGTATCATTTTCGGCTCTAATTTTTTCTTTCTCAGTTGCCTACTCATCTACGTTTAATTTATAAAGAAAGCTGAAATAATTGGCAACAACTCAGAAATCATTTTTTATATCATTACTAAGGGGATTTTTATTTGAGTCTATGTTATAGCAAATTGGTCTCTTCCTTGCCTCATCCTGTAGGATCCAATACCTCTCAATCTGCTTCTTCTTTATTTATTTCAGTCATCTTTATCTTTCATAAATGTTTGTCATCAACATAAAGATAATACTAAAAAATTTTAAGAGGAGATGGTGATGATGTGCGGCTTTCTTGTGATCCCCTGTGGCGGCTACGACGGTCGTGGCTATGATGAAGGCGATGGGCTGTGGCTTGCTGGTGCGGGGTCTATTTCGATTGATCGTGCCTCGTGCGGTCTGGCCGACTGGCGCCTGGTGATCTAGCCGTCTAGGCTAGGACTTGGGTCTCGCAAAAGGTGCTGATGCGGCACAGTGACCCACGAACGCGGAGTGGTGGACGACGGACGGGCGGAGTGGCGGATGAGATGAGGTCACACATGCGACAACCATGTTCTCGAGTCAACCTGGGTTGATTTCGGGTTTCCGGGTCAACCTGAACCCGACCCAGTTTTGCAAACGGGTCGAAATTTCGAATCCAGACCCAACCTGCATGGCAAACAAGTTGACCTGAACCCGAAAATTTCCCGGTAGATTCCGGGTCGGGTTTCGAGTCGAGTCACATTTTGACACCCCTATGTAAACCATAGATGATGATTTGTGAAGAAAACGGAGGTGATCGCAAATGACCAACCTTATAATTTGTGAAGAGAATGACCTAAAAGCCTTATTGACTATGATTATTAAGAGGAAAGGACGAGATTGCAAAGGAGGAA